CACACATACGCGCATTCCCGATCCCAAAATTTTTTAATATTAAGGGTCTGTTTGCAACAACTTCTACTTTAAAAAAGTGTTTTTTTTATGAAATGGGGAGAAGTGATTAAATAAAAGTTGATAGTGGTTGAGAAAAAAGTGATTTTGAAAAGTAAAAGTTGATAGTGTTTGGTAAAATAAGTGTTTTTTGTGTAATAGAAAAAGTAAAAGCACTTTTGACACGAAAGCGAGAAAAATAAAAGTTGTAGTGTTTGGTAAAAGAAGCGCTTTTTTAAAGCCAAAAACTAAGAAGTACTTTTTAAAGTGGTTGCAAACCAACAAGCTTGGATGTTGTTGTTATGCACAGTGCACGCATTGGGTCGGGATTACTCTTCATGTCCAGGACTTTCAAACAAAACCATCGTTTGGCCAACTTAATTTAAGCGTTTTGTATATATTTTGACATAGTTTTTTTTCAAAACTTATTTAACTGATTTCTTGATTGAATTTTTAATTGAGATTTGATTGATAAAATCTACACTTCACGGAGAAAATGTTCAAAAAAATTCATAAAAAAAAAATCACTAGTAACCACCTCAAATTGAGGTGGCTGAATGGTGTTTCCCGGAATTTCCAAATAGGAATTGAAGACTACTATATATATTGGTTTAAAAAACACATTCTCTTGCTCTTTGAGTTGACACTCAACATCTCCTCTTTATGGGTCGTGTTTACTTAAAGTATCGGAGTATATAATAATATAAAGAAAACGGTGCTAGGGCCAGGATCACTCAAGATGATGTGATTCTTAACTCTGGCAACAGGTGGAAATTTTGTTTTTGCTTTTTATTTCTTATTTTTTATTGAAAGGATAAATATGCGGGCCGGGGTCAATACAATTTGGTATAATTCCAAGTGGCAAAATATTGATTGCGCATGGTCAATAGTCACGAACTATATATGAATACTAGCATGGGCGCGCGCGTTGCGCGATGGTTGGTGCCCAACGCTCGGTATAACGATAAAACTGTATTTTATAAATAAAAAATGCGTAAATACATCACAAAGAATGAACTTATGCGAGGTTTCTAACATTTCAAACACCTAAATTAAAACCAAAACAGAAAAGGGTAGTTCAAGTATTGTAGTTACATCATTGTAGTAGTTTAGCACCATTCAACACCTGAAGATAAGCAAAAACATGAAAATAGTTGTTCAATAATTGCAGTTACATTAAAAATAGGAATCAAACAATTAATAAGAAAACATCATTAGAAATTAAACCCAACAAAAGTCGGCTATATACATTCGGTTGAAACTTGATTTGGTTTTATCTTTTTGGATTCAATAATATTTACACAAGATCAAAGTATTTCTCCTTCTCCTTGCCACATGCTCGGGACAGCGAATAGATATGGCCGACTGAACATTATGCAAGGGGAACAAAATAGAAAGAAATTTATGTGAAAGGGGAGAAAATTACTGAGGGGCTCAATTATTTATTATTAATGATAAAGGAAAATGACAGGCTCAAATGAAGGTAGGAAAGGAAAGAAATTATTGAACCTACGACATAAATGAGTAGAAAATGAGAGGAAATACTACTTTTCATGATTACTCCATTTTGTGATGTCCAAATGTGAAGATAAACCCAAGTGAGCAAGGAATCAGCCCACACCCTGCACTGAACGCTTACATTGCCGGTAAGAAAAGCTCAGGCTACAACTTATATCCAACTGTTTTTTTCTTTTCCAAAGTTGTTGCAGAGATGCCCATTTCCATGGCCTGTTATTATATTTAGGCATTTAGCACCATCAATAGTAACATGTCCACCTTAAAATTTCCCTAAAGGGCTGCAATGAATTCCTCAAACATGTAAACACCTCATCACAAGATGCTTATTCATAGCAGATAACTTGTACGTTCAAACTGTTTTTTAAACGTTTTGAGAGCTGTCATCTTCCTTGCTTCTTTCCACCAGCGGAAAGAAATAATTTGAGATTTTCAATTCCAAATCATGAAACTTCAAGGACTTTATTAAAATGAGAAATATGTTTTTCCCATTGTGAGAGAAAGTATATTTTCCATAAGTTAAAGGTTCAACACATAGTTTAGTTGAGGAAACCGACACTGTACACACGGAAATAGGACCTACTTAACTCCCTTCCACAGTATATATATGGCAGATTTAGATTGAACTAAGAGTGTAAGATTAACTAAGATCAATGTATCATAATAAAAATTATTATGTAGTACGCATGCAATATGGGAGGAAACCAAACTAACTTTTTATTGTTAAAAAAAGTGCATTTTCCTTAACTTTTATTTAAAAATTGAATTATAGTAGGCATTGTTGACTTAGCAAAACAACCTCTAGACAGAGCACAAAAAAAGTTGACCCATATATCCTGGCAAATTTGTCCTTAAATTTTAAGAGAATTTAATTGCAACTAACCCAAACTTATTAGAGCACAAGATATTGTGTAGTTAAGGTTGATGTGCTCTAAAGTATCTTTTAATCTTATATCTTCTTCTTGCCCGTTAAATGAATGACCATATACTTAATACAACGAAGTCGCAAAACTCTAATTATCTGTCACTGGAAATTATGCAGTATATTCTTGCCATTTCCATTTCAGATTCATATGGTTTCAGAAAACCACCACTACCTGTAATCTTTGAGAGTAGCGTCCATGGCATAGTGGATCCTATTCTCCACCGACTTTATTCATTCGGAGCACAGGAGAGAGAACCATTAAATGAATTATTGTGACCTATCCATGGCAATTAGTTGACCTGTTCTCCATAACTGCGCAAAAAAAACAAATTTTGGTAACCATGGCACCTAAATTTTGTTTCACTCAATGAGAATCTTTTCCAAACAAACAACTCAATGAGACAAATTCACGAACACCTTGAGTGTTTCACTTTTATATAGCAAGGGAGAGAGCAAAAGTACCTCTAGAAGGGTGGAGGAGTACTTTGTCCCAAACGAGTGTCACCCCAATCTTGTTTTTCGTTCTTACACTGAGATGAATAAAAACAGAGAAAAACAAACAAAAAAGGAGAAGAAATTCTAGCTAACAACAACAAGTGAGTGTCGTTGGTGGGCAGAGAACTGTACCTCGTCTGCATCACATTTGAGAATCAGCCGAGAACATCTCTCTTGTTCTTAAGCTGGGAACAAAACAAAATAGCAACAAAAGAGCAAACAGAAGTGGAGGAGAAAGCTTAGCTAAGTTGACCACATCGGATGAGAAGTTGTAGTTACCAGTGCAGTTTGGTAAATGGTGAAGCGTGAAGCGGACTGGCGGAACAACTCTCTTACAACCCTAGAATTTCTGAGAGCGGGAGCGGCAGTGGCGGCTGGAGTAGATAAGGGCGATATTTTCGTGTGGTTCACAGCAACAGCAACGAAGGGAAAGAAGACGGCCGTTTATTTCTGGGCAAGCACCGTTGTGCTGTAGCAACGGAATGGTACCAAAGTAACTCTCTTCCACGCTTTAGAAGAATAGGAGATATATGTTTAATTAATTAGTTGATTGCTTCATCATAATTCCATCTCTTGTTCATAATAATTGGTTAACGTTGCAACTCAAATATGATTAGTGATTAAGACAATGATTTGGATTCCCCATCCAACTGCAAGTCAATTTTATTGTTGTAATACGGAGTGATATATAGATCATAATTGATTACTTATGACCTTATGACTAACCGATACATATTTTTATTACCATATACGAAATATATTATATTATACGGAGTATTATATTATATTAATAATATTAGACATAATTACAAACTCCGAGTATGTATCCCTTTTAAAAAATGTAACCTCTTAGATGTGACTATGTATTTCTTTTTGCCTTTTTTAGTTACTATATAGTGCTATAAGAGTAACCTCAGGTCAGGACGTATACGAGTGTTCTAGCATGTATTTCTAGTCAGTTGGCTAACGACCTTTTAGATTAATAAAGTTGTTGGAGTTGATGATAAAAAAAGAGTAACTTTAGTTATAGTAATTGATTTATATTCAAATTTTAAATTTAAGTGACCATAAAACTATACATATAATAACTTTAATCACATTTTCATAAATAAATCTTATTTTAGTAATACTTTTTAAAAACCCTCAAACAATCATCATCATCATCATATGCACCCTTCAGTTTTTTGGCATACCCATTCACTTATGGTTTAGAAAGATAGCAAAAATGTCGATACATATAGGAAGATTTAAAAAAAAACGTACTGTTACGGAGTATCTTGTAGAACCTAATTTGACTTAGGGTTTTACGGTGAGGATTTGAGGATTTAGTTTATTCTTTAATTTACAACTCAGCTCCACCGGTCTTTCTTATTTGATCCAGTACGTTTTTTACAGAACCGTAGAGTAAAACAACAAGGATTACAACGAATAATGATTTATGGGTTAGAATAAAATGAAAGAATAAAAAAAATACGGAGTAGTAGAATTGAAAGAGATTAGATGGTTTAAAGTAGGACCCTATAAAGTGTGAACGATGCACCCGAGGTGCATTAAGCATTTTTTGCAATGAATGAAAATATTTGATGATTTGAGGTGCTCTATTCATTCCAATACATATACATACTTAGAGCCGGATCATAAGCCTGATATTACACTAAAAACGACCTCATATTGTATTATGATTTAAATGTTGCAATGTTGCACTTAGATGGTTTCATGTTACTACAGAGATGTGTCAAAGGGATTTTTTAGAAGTATTTATGAAAATGGCATCGCCCGTTATTGCATTTTTCAGAACAATATGAAATCCTTTTAGTATAATATAGTCAAATTGAACGGTAGAAAATGGGAAGCAACCCAATCAAATCACCTCCATGGATTATGATGGCCGGGTGATGGATGCACCCACCGGGTTCCATTAACCAACCACAAATGAGTCCTTTCTATCGGATGGATGGATGTACTCTCAGCAATACGGACCGGACTAATTAATGAGGAACTATCCAATCATCACACACTTGACTTAAACCGGCCAAAGAATTTCATAGAAGCAGCTCCATCAATAATACTTATTCAAAATAATATATTTATTTGAAATAGTTCTAAACTAAAATATATTAATTCATTAAATTCCCACTTTGTATACAGAGTTCTCGGATTTGAATTTCATTTGTACAAATTCTGATACATTGGTGACCGAAAAAGAAGAATGAAAGACATCTCCTTGACCAATAATAATAAATTAAGAACTGTGCGGCACAGAAGGATAGGGGCTGCCCCCCGAGCTGTGGTCAAGAGGGTTGGAATTTGCTACCCCTTCACTCCCGTGCAGTCGTTCCATTTTCAATCCCTCGTATGCTTTTGCTCTCTGCCATTTACAAAATTCATATTAGATTTATCGAACTTCAATTGTCTGATTTTGCTGAATTATAGAAAACATTCAAAATTCACCATTTCTTCAAAAGCTACTTATTACTAAATCATGCATACATTGCCTTCATAAACCAACAGAATATGCAAAACAAACGGAGCCTTAATTGGTCTCGAACCGCACCTGCATTGTTCCTGTATGATCTCTTTCGGAGTTGAAGTCATAATAGGTACTTGCTGCCGCTAGCTTCAAAGAAAGAAACTGAAACCACCACAGCCCAAAATAAGTAAATAAATGAATGTAAAGTTTGAGTTTCGAATCATCTTCTTTGTTTAATAATTACCTCAACTTGGTTTTGTAAAGACTGCACATAGTTTATTATTTCATCCAACATAACAGCCATGCCCATTGTCTGAAATTTGATTTGGGAAGGTTATCTCCAAATTAAAATGATGAAATTAAATATGCTGAATTGTTAAACTGTTAATTAATTACGTACCTTGTAGCAACCAGGAACAATTTCTTGCAAGCACCTAAGTCTTTCATTAATTTTCTCTCTTCTAACCTGAACCACACAGCAAATTAAGCACATCTAAACTTTACTTTCCCTCTCAAGATTTAAACCTTCATATAACAAATTATGATGCAAAATTTGGTTCATATTGAATTATATAAATAGAACTAAAATTTTATACGATTCTTGAAATAGGATTATATCATTTTTTTTAAATAGAACCAATTCTCCCTACAAAAAGATGAGCTTTAACTATTTTTTTTTATTATCTCTGTTGTTATTTGACTCCAATATACTTCATATAGATTACCCTTTCTGCTAAACTGTGACTATCCGTAGCCTGTCCCCTTTTAGCTCTTACGTGCACCACTTCCCTTTGCTGCTGCTTCTCCTCTTCCTCCTCCACCACTTGTACTTCTTCTTCTTCTTCACCATTCTTCTTTCTTTTCCGCCGCCCTCCTGACTGCCAAAAATCATGTATGTGAAGTGAAGATATTTTGAAAGCTATGATGGAATGTGAGACAGTTTAATAAATATATATATGTACATTGGTGCTTTTGGTGGCACTCTCGGAATGCGTCAAGCTGCTGATCTCCGGAGTATGGTCGGTGATCTTGGAGTTCATAGACGGCCGATTGGCTGCTCTGGGCGCCGCTTTCTTCTTCGTCTTCATCTCACTTTGCAGCAGGGGATGATGGCCGTCGGCTGGGAAGTTTTGACACAAATTCGCAGCAAATTCAGGGGGGAGAAAACTTTCTGGGCAAAATCCCATTGAGCTCTGATAATTCAAGGATGGGAGCTCTGCTGAATAACCGATTGGGTTTATCAAGTCTTGAAAAGGATTCATGATTTCCATTGCCGCCGGATCATTGCTGAGGGCAGAGAATGGTTGTTTCAGGATTTGCATGTCTGGAGTGAAGTGATGATGATGAGACATCAATAATTTGAAAAATGGGGTTATCTCTCTTAGCTTTGTTTGGGGGAGAGAGAGCTAAAGATGATGAGTCGAAGAAGTTCTGGATGATAAGGCCAGGCCGGCTGCTTCAAAGTGTGTGTCTATTGTATATGTACGCTTTATATAAATACAAATAAATAAATGAATGAATGAATTTATGGACACTTGTTATCTGTACTACGATACAAGTACATGAAGGACTTCTCCCTCTCCCATCATTAATAAATGATTTAATGAGACTAACATCACAGGAAAGTGTAGCTCAACTGGATATACTCTACTAAAATAATCTCCCATATTGCTAATTCTATTGGACATATATAATAATATGCTATTTGGGTTTCACCATCTATTTAAGTAATTTACTTAACCAACTTCTAAATTGAATTTTAAACTCAAATTTTGTTGAGATAATCTACACTTCATTAAAAACATGCTACAAAAGTTCTCTTGACGGGCTTGGCTAGACGCTAATCTGGGCAAGCGTGTTTGACTTGATCTTTACTACTCCGTACTCCCTCCGTAACTTAAAAATCTTCTCACTTTCCTTTTTCGTCAGTAACACAAAAATCTTCCCATTTTTAAATCTTCCCATCATACCCTCAATAATTCTTAAAATAATACACTATTACAACTACTTTTTTTGGATTTATCCTACATTCCACCACATTATTCCACTATTTTCCCATCATACCCTCAATAATTCATATCATCTTTCACTATTCTTAATCTACCTACTTTTGAAATGGGAAGATTCTAAAGTTACGGAGGGAGTATATGCTAGTACATGATTTGTATGAAATATATTAAAACTTTTAACCCCTCATTATAACATTGCAAGGCCCGCCTCCCTAATCATGCAACTCTGGCTCCGCCACTAGTGTTGAGACCCATGATATCTAAAAAATACAAAGTATATAATTATGTGTAAAATAATGCAAATCATAAATTGTGAGGGACTTTTATATAACGGACTCATTTGGTAATCCCTATTTCAAGCTTATCAACCTTATCAGTCACTTTTTATTATCAAACATATAATTTGCGTGTTGAATTGAGTATAATCATAATAAGTAAGATTGAAGTTAGTTTTCTGGCTGAATATACTGTAGCGGATCATTTTAGCTATTTTTAATGTAAATTTTTTCCTATTTTTATTAGTATAATATAGTTTATATATTTTTTTCACAATGTAGCAAGTTCAATCAATTCTGCCAAAATTACATCAATTTCAACAATTAAACTAATTCCAGCATTATTCAATGGCCTCGAGATGTTTTTAGGAGTTTGGAGGATGAATTGGTGATATTTGGTATTAAAATTAGGTTCACTAATATGATATTGAAAGACAAAAAAAGGATTACCTTTACGTTACGAATTCATGGGTGAGAATGTGAGATCCGTATAAAATTGATTGAATGGGGGATCATGATTGTTGGAAAGGGCTCTGAAAATGATGATCAATTGATCATGGTTTTAGTTATGTTTTTTTTTATAATGCCAAGATGTAGGAGTGAGCATATCCGTGCATTTGGCCAAATCAAATCGTACTAAACTAAACCAAATCATATGTAACCAGTATGCATTTGGTATCATTTATTCCAAATCGCATTGAGTAGAATTGAACCGAAAGAGTAATTGAGTAGCTCAAGTTAAAGCTGGATGACCTCAAAAGGGAGGTTAATGGTGGGGATGATATCCTTCGATCTATCTTGACCTAAACCCTTTGTCCAAATAAATATGGAAGCTCTCGTGCCACAAAATTAAAAACTGTGCAATCTATGGATGTTTGCGCAATCTTTGCAAAATTAATTTGTCTCAGACTAGTCCAGACCAGACCAGTCCAGACCAGACCAGTTCAGACCAGACCAGACCGGACCAGACTTGGATACTTATAAAAATACAAAGAAACCAGACCTTACCAGACCAGACTAGACCAGTTTAGACCAGATCAGACCAGATCAGACCAGACCAGCAAATTACAGTCCAATTAAAAACATCCTATGTCCACAAAATTAAGTATATTTCCATCTAGACCCCCATAAATCTAAATATGTGATGAAAAACTTTTCCCACCTCTTCAACTAAAAACAAAGGGGAAAAATTACACACAATCTTCCGAGTAGAACAAACAATGAAATCAAGAACTACCTACCGGAAAACCAAGATAGCATCTAAACATAGACTCCCATATATAGCAGTGCTTTTTAGCACTTGAGCCAAGATTTATGGATTCCTCATCTATCCCAGAAAATGCAAGCTTAGCTTCTTCCAATGAACAACATATCATATCATATTATAGTCTGGGCCGGAGAGATTACAGTATCCGTAACCCTAATCTTTGGTCATAATAATCCATTAAATTTGGCCAACATATCAATGGCGATTCTGAATACCCAAAATGAATTTGGGTTCCTCGAGATGGGTTTTTGTCCAAAGGATAATAGTCAGCTTAACGATATCATAGACACTTTGAACAACATGAGTAATTGACAATGATCACATCAAAGGAGAAAATTGTTGGATGAATAATTTTTTGAATGATAGCTTATGGATCGTGGATACATTTTAAGGGACAACTTAGCATTTGGATTGGTCAAAAACACATTTGGATGGTCTTTGGAGTTGATAGCTTATAGGAAAACCATAACACGTACGTAGTATTAAGCAATGATACAAGTACACAACACCTTGACCATATTGTACTCGCATACAATCTAAAAGTGGCATAAAGTGGAAGAGAAGGATTTCGTGCATTAGGATTTTGGAGCAGCGCTTGATCGTCGACTAGAGCTTTGGAGCCGCGCAAAATCATAAGCGTCTGAGCTTTGTTTAGCTACTTCAGAAAGAGAGCAACGAAGAGATGGAGGGCAACACAATAGGCGAGATGTAAACCTTGACCCATAGAAACAATGACATATTTGTTCCAATCATGATGAACGATGATGCAAGAGATAGAAAGAGGTCAGAGACGGGAAGGAATGACGAGATGAACAATGAAGACGGAGTATTGACGACCCGTCTCCCTACTGAACCATCACCTTGGAGCGACTGTGGTGCTCTATCTTTTGTTCAAGTTTCATTTTTGTTATTCCGTACTTTTTTATTTGGTTAATAATTGGGAGTTGTGAGTGCTTTTTGATGTGAGAATGAGTGGATGCAACCGGGCTAATTTGGTTGATAGTAGTTTCGAAGCTCTCGCATGTTCAACAATTACTCTCGCTCACTTTTGGTGGTCTATTATGTGTCTTATCAGAGAGTGTGTGGGCTTATTGGCTATACAAAGTCTAGAGGGGAGACTTTGTTTTTTGATGGTGTTGAGATGTTTGATTCTATTAATTTAATATAAGATTTTTTCTTCAAAAGAAATCTAAAAGTGGCATAATCAAGGAAAGTGGAGTTTTCGTTTTTGACCTTTCTTTTATACCTTACAAAAAGTAAATTAAGTGTAGTGAGAAAGTGGAAGTGAGTATAAAATAGGTCCGGAGGTTTTTTTTTACTTCTATATGTAGCCTCTTGGCATTACACTATTACCTAGGCATTGACTCGATAGTCGATCCGGTGCGAGCTGAGACTATCGATCTTTGCCAAGAAATATGAGTACCCGTGACCAACTTCCTTTATAGCGATCCCGATTCCTGAACAAGGTAGGGTAGACCAGCCGATCCAAACTCAAACTCGATTGTATGCATTTTTATTCCTGATTGCTCAATATTTTAATATAAATAAATGTACATGCCAAATGATGAAGTATATGAGAGAGTAACAAGAACAGAGAGAATGGGAGAATAAAGGTGTAAGAAATTATTTTAAATTGTATGACTATTTATAGGTCTTTTTACTCCCCTAATCCTTCAACCACCCCAAGCCCTAAATCATCTGATAGGGGCTCAACGGTCAACACAACCCACCCCCAACGGGTAAATGAAAGAATACAAAAAAGGTCATTGACACCAAATCATGTCCAAGACTGGCCGGTCGCAGACCCAAAAAATTATACCCAAGACCATGTAACATAGACAAACGTACTCCAGATCCATCTAGGGGTGGACTGGGCCGGTTCTGGGCAAGGCTCCGGACCGGGTCAGACCGGGTCAGACCGGGCTCCAGGTCTGGTAAAATGAGTCCTGGTACCAGCCCGGTTATATATCGGGACCAGTCTGGGTCGGGCTACTCGGCCGGGTACGGGCCGGGTTGGGCCAAATAATTTTTTTTTTTGGTAATTTACAAGTACTAAAACATATGCTTAATAGGATAATTATATGAAAAATGTATAATAGGATAAATGTATGAATGTATAATAATAAATGTATAAATGTATTAATGAATGTAAGTGTGTAAGTAATGGGATAAATTTAACTAATATTAATGAATGTGTAACTAATAGGATAAATGTATTAATGTATATTAATTAATGGAAGTGTAAGTAATAGGATAAATTTAACTAATATTAATGAATATGGAGTATTAGTTAAACTATAAATTATACTTTAACTAACTAATATATAATACGGAGTATAATGTTTGTAGCATATAATTAGATGAGTAGTACACTTATATTTAATATTTTAGATATTAAATATAAGTAAAAATGTTTGTTTGATAAAAATGAGAGAGTAACAAGAACAGAGAGAATGGGAGAATAAAGGTGTAAGAAATTATTTTAAATTGTATGACTATTTATAGGTCTTTTTGAATAAAATGTTTGTAGCAAGACTTTTAGAAAAAATAAAAGGCAAATTTTCTTCAACAATTAATTCAGACATAACAGTAATTAAATGTTTGGAATCATCATAAGAGAAATTACCATAGGGTTGGCCATCCACAAACCTCGAGATTTGTGTTTATGTCCCCTTGCCTTTTAGTTTCGCATACTCCACGGGGTGATGGCCCTTGACATGCCTATGAGTGCCGCCGTATCCTTGCGAAATCCCCACGCTTATGTTTTTGTTACAATGATTGCAAGTCATCCACCACTTGTCGTTATTCGTTTTCTTCTTGTTGTTGATTTTTTTCATAAGGAGAGATTCGTTTTTCTTACCGGGTTTGGATGAACCAGGCTCGTCCTCGTCGGAGGTGTCATCGTCCGGGATTTGAGAGCCATCTTGTTCATCCTCGGCCGTCGTCGGATCCTCCTCCTCCGGGTCCTCATCCTCGAGCTCTTCCTCAATGTCGGGGATGTCATGTTGTTGGTAAAAAAAATCCATCTCGTTGGGCCAATAATTGTTGTAGTTGCGCGTCGGACATCGCATCTCTCTGTTGATAATCTGTTTCAAAATCATATCGGCTTTGCAAAGAAGACCCGATGTGTCCTTTTACCTTTGCGTGAACTATGATGATTCTTCTCAATCTCCTTCTTTCGGTTGGGTTGGAGGTTACCCATATCTACAGTATGCCTACCTCGTTTCATCTTAAAATGCAACAAATATTAAATTCTAACAAATATGTTTATGTGAGTACAAAAACAATGCAAAGTAATAAAAAAAAGTAAATAATTTCTTCGCATACTTAAAACGTGACTTTTATATTAATTAAAATGTAAGTAATGTGATAATTTAATAAAAATGTGACTTATATTAAAATGAGACTAGTCTACAAGTGTATAAATTATTGAATTGTGAGATAAATTGCAACTAAAATGCAGGTACTTTAATAGTTTAATATAACAACTTTAATATGATTAATATTAATATGTAAGAAATGAGAATGTAATTAATATGATAATGAAACAAGTATAGTAAAATTAAATAAAAATGCAACTACTTTAATATTTCAAGCTAACAACTTTTATATGATTAATATTAGTATGTAACAAATATGGTTAATTAATGTGATGATGTAATAATGTGACAAGTATAGTAAATGTAACTACAAATGGAACTACTTTAATAGTTTAATACAGCAAGTTTAATATGATTAATATTAATATCTAAGAAATATGATTATTTAATATGATAATGAAACAAGTATAGTAAAAATTAATTGAAATGCAACTACTTTAATATTTTAAGGTAAAAAAATTTATATGGTTAATATTAGTATGTAACAAATATGGTTAATTAATGTGATGATGTGACAAGTATTAACCAAAATGGAACTACTGTAATAGTTTAATATAACAACTTTAATAAGATTAGTATTAATATCTAAGAAACTAGAATGTAACAAATTTAAAGGTAACAAAATGAGAAACTAATAATATTAATGACAAGTGTAACTAATAGGATAAAGGTAAGAATGTATAATACGGAGTAGTAATTAATGAGAGTATGAGTGTGTAAGTAATGGGATGAATTTAACTAATATTAATAAAAATGTAACCAATGAGATAAATTTAACTAATATTAATGAATATTAGTTAAACTATAATAAATGTATAAACTATAAATTATACTTTAACTAACTAATATACAATAGGGAAAACTGTCAATTTGGTCCTCGTACTTTCATGAAAAAGTCAATTAGGTCCTCGTACTTTTAAAAAGATCTATCAAGTACCCGAACTTTGTAAAAACGTTCAATTGGGTACATTTGCAGGTTACTTGCCATGTCATCAGGTCACCCGCTGACGTGGTGTACATGTGGCAACCCAAGCATCAATAATTTTGCTGACGTGGCACACATGTGGAAGTCTAGTCAGCCAATTATTGATGACGTGGCGCACACGTGGACCACCATGTGTGCTCAATTGAATGTTTTACAAAGTTTGGGGATTTGAATGATCGTTTTAAAAGTACGAGGACCTAATTGAATTTTTCATGAAAGTATGAGGATCAAATTGACAGTTTTCCCTGTATAATATAATGTTTTGTAGTATATAATATATAAGGAGGAAACTTCATGTCAGGCCGGCCTGACGGGCTGCTCCGTCCGGCCGAGCCCGTTTCGGCACCTTCCCTGTAGAATTTTTTGATGAAATTGTTTGAGCATGTTCCTCATCAAGTGTAGTTTGTCCATACCAAATTTCAGCTCAAAATTCGATCGGGAAGGCATTCAAATTATTTTTTGAAGTTCACTGCAGTTTTATATGTATATTTTGACGCAGTCAACTTCAAAAAATAATTTGAATGCCTTCAATTCCGAATCGAATTTTGAGCTGAAATTTGGTATGGACAAACTAGACTTGATGAGGAACATGCTCAAAAAATTTCATCAAAAAATTCCACCGGCAAGGTGCCGAAACAGGCTCGGCCAGACGGAGCAGCCCGTCAGGCCGGCCTGATGAGAAGAGCACTCAATATATAAGTATACTACTATAAGATGATGAGTAGTACACTTATATTTAAAACTTTAATATACATACTTAATATATAAGTAAGTATAGTATATGTAAATATAAGCAGATAATAAATATATAATTAGTAGATATTAAGTAGATAATAAAGATTGAAGTGAATAATAAGTAGAATAATAGATATAATACTCCATATGTAAACATAAGTAGATAATAAGTATATACCAAGTAGATAATATAAGTCACAAGTTTCTTTTTCCTTATCTGCCTAGAGAATACGTACTTTGGGAGTTTCGGGGTGGGGGGAATTAATATAATATATAATTGCGTAATAGTATAAAGATTTGGATATATAATTGGTTAGTAAGTATTCAGTTAAATCAATACTCCCTCCGTCCCAAAATGAGAGTCTCATTTCTTTTGAGCTCAAAGATTAAGGAAGTGGTTGAAAAGGTAAAAGTTGTGGTTGAGATTTGAGTAGAAAAAGGTGAAATGATGTGGACCACATATTTCTTTCCAAAAAGGGAAATGTGACTATCAATTTGGGACGGCCCAGAAAGGAAATACGGGATCATCAAATTGGGACGGAGGGAGTATTATTTACTAGCGTTAAAAGCGACCGTCTTCTATCTAGGGTTGGCTCTCGTCCGCTTTTAGAGTAGCTTTTGTTCTTCCCGTTCTTCGGCCTAGGCGAAGGTCAGTGGGTAGTTTTAGGTGTTGTGGGAGTCGATTGCAGGTTAGAGGCGAGGTCGGTGAGTCGCTCGTGCAGCGGCCGGGGCTTTTCTTCGCCTTTGACGAAGATCGATTTACTCGCAGAAGAGTTTGGTGGGGCAATGTTTGATTTTCGTTTTTGCTCAATTATGGAAAAGGTGATGAGGAAGAAGATATATAACAACAATCGGCCATCTGGATTGGCTGGGCAGAGTTTGATCTCTATCCAGAAATGCTGGGCAAAGTTTGATCTCTATCCAATCGCAAAGGGGGCTGAACTTCCGGTGGTGGGAGTTGTTATCACGGATCGTCCCCCTCCTGAACTGCCGCTGTGGAGAGCAGGGAAGTCTAGGGTTTGGAAGCATCTTTTCAATTTTACTGTTAGCTTGCGTTTTAGTTTTCTTTATCAGACTGTTTATTGTTCTGTTGATTATTTTTATTATTGTAAGACTCTTGCATTAGGGTTGGGGATGAGAGTTCTGCAGTAACCATTAATGGCTCAATTATGCCCAATTTCGGATCAGCGAGTTATATTGCCTTGTCAAAGGTGATTAACTCATAGTCTGGCCCAAGGGCGGATGGTTGCTTGTGGTGCTTTTGTTATTTTAGCTCCTTTCTGAATGCTGTGATAGATGTAGAGAAAATTGAAGTAGACGAAGATGATTAAAGAGTAGGAAGAATTGGAAAATGGATATTGAAAAATGTTTAGAAAATGGGTATATTTATAGGTTTTTTTACCCATACCCCTTGACCCCCCTCCAACGGCTCTATTGCCATTGGCAACGGATAGAGCCCGGCCCAACCGTTTCACGTTTTGCAGATCCTGAAGCCCGCCCGTTCACACTAGCGGTTTGGGCCTCACCAGCCACCGGGTCGGGTCCCAACAGTGCCGGGCCAGGTCTTGGGTCGGACAAACCTGCCCAGTCCACCCCTAGGTCCATCCATGCTCTTACCTCCTCAATCATAAGTCATAACAACTCAAAATCTGGAACTTTCTACAAACAAAACACTTGTTCAAATTGATGAAGAATGCTTACACTATTACGGTAATCAAATTCAAAAGCCGAGCGAATAAGCGATTTATTAAAGTTTGTTGAAAAATCATGAGAGCTTTCCTGCTGAGAAAAGTCAAAAGCTAACTAAGTAAACCCAATAGGGATGGACCGGTTCCAGGCCAACCGGCCCGTGGCCCGGCCCGGCACTGTTTGGAACCGGGCCCTGGACCAGTCCGGGTGGGCCGAACTGAGTGTAACTAAGAGCTAGTCATGGACTCGGACCGGGCCTAGGCCCGGTCGGGCCTCAGGCTTTTTGAAGGAGGCCCGGGACCGGCCCGTGCTATGGTCGGTGCCGGTTCGGGCCGGGTCACCCGCCTGGGTCACGGGTCGAGCCACCCACCGGGCCGGACCGGGTCAGTTTAATTTTTTTTATATATTTATAGTTTATACAAATGTTTATTAAAAACAAAGTTCAAGTGCATTTATTTGAAATAGGAACTACATTTGAGAATTGAGAAAAACTTACAATATGAAATACATTTTCTAATAAATAATCAATCAGAATTTCTGTCACCATTGGTTGTTGTTTTCCCCTTGCTTTTGTCTTTGTCATAGGGCTTAATATGTCTTCTAGGCACCCCGTATCCGTGTGAACGCCCCAAGCTACACTCTTTCTTGCACCACCTGCAAGTTGCCAACCACATCTCGATCTTCAGGTCCTTCCACATATCAAAATTGTTTTGCATAAGAGAAGATTTACTTTCCATCTTTAAAATGGTAGATTGGTAGATGTATAAGTAGAAGAATAAGAGAAGATGAAGATGGAGAAGAGTTGGGAAGTGGGTGCCCAACCAAATGGCTCCTTTAGACCAAAAAGAAAAAAAAAATTAAATTCAAGCCGTTGGGGACCCGGGCACGACCCGACCGGGTCACCCTTTTACGAAACCGAGCCCAACCCCCGCTTCCCCCCAGGTTCGGGTCAACACCCATTCCCGGACCGCCGGATCGGGCCGGTCTCGGGCCTGCACAGTAGCGGACCGGGCCGGGTGGCCCGAACCGACTCCACTACTAAGAGCGGGCTCGGGTCATGGAATATAGGAACCGGCCAGGCCAGGCCCGTTTCGGTCCTTTTTTTTGTTTTTTCAATTTTTTTTTGTTTTTCCCGGGTTGGGCTGGATGTTTTGGGGGTAGGGGGTGGGCCGTGGGGGTGAGGGGGTTAATTAGAATTTAGAAAAAGCAAAAAAAAAAAAAAAATTGAACTGGCCCAAGACCCAGCCTAAGACCGGTCCAAACCCGGTGGAATCCCGGGCCAGTTCCGGGCCTTCCTTCAAAAAAAAAAGATTGGACCAGCCTGAAACCACATGCCTAAAACCCAGCCTACCGGTTTTGGTACTTCCGCATTTGGATCCAAAGCTTCGATCTCTGACTCGTCAAGAGAAACGGGTATTGAAGCTATCACAAAGACAGCAAGCCATAGAACTAGGGGTGGACCGGTTCCGGTTCGGGCCCGGTTCGGGCCTGGGCCCGGCCGGGCCTCGGTTCAGAAAAAGGAGGCCCGAGCCCGAACCGGTGGTGGGCGGTTCCGGTTCCGGGCCAGAACCGGGCCGGGCCGGGCCACCCGGAATGTTTTTTTTTTTTTTTTGCTTCTTCTTCTCTTATTTAACCCCCTACCCCTCCCCCTCCACCCCAAACCACCCCAAACCACCTCAAATGGCCCAAAATACCTAATCCAACCCAAAACTTAAAAAATTTCAAAAAAAAAAAAAAAAAATTCCGGCCCGGCCGGTTCACTAAACTGGAGGCCCGGGCCCGGACCGGTATACCACCGGGCCGGGAGGCCCGAACCGGAACCGAACCGGTTCACCGGGCCGGTCCGGGCCCGCACAGTAGCGGGCCGGTCCGGTTCCGGGCCGGTTGGCCCGGCCCGAGTCCATCCCTACATAGAACCGTTTAAAAGGTAAAACACCCGAACATGAAAAAGTAATCTCAAAATTAATCAGCAATACAGTAACGGGATAAAATACGCACAATGAAATCTTTGGACAAAGAAACACCCTTAATGTAGATGACATTTTAATCCGATGCGGCCTTCCTTTCTACTAAACAAAAAAAAAAAACTACAAACTCCAATATTGCTAAAAGAACTTCGTAGAATCCAGTTCACATCAGTAACAATAACAATGCCAAAAATATGGTAGAACAGATCTAAGCCTCAGCACTGGGGTACTCAAAGACAACATCTTTGCCTGAAAGTTTTCGGTATACAGCAGAAAATGTTTCCAGCTTGTATTCTGTGTCATTCTTCTGTTTCGGGTCCAAGAGGATCTGAAAAACAATAAAATTTAGACAGCATTGCCCTAAATTAGCTTGTATACATAACTTGAAAATGTAAGAAAAATTTTCTATATTCCTGCTAAGAACAGGCTGTAGCATAAGCATATTCAGTACCCATGTTAGTCCCAAATACGTCTTTCCTGTAACAAGCTTTCTTAATTTAAGAAAAGTACCAAATCAGCCCTCAAACTAAACATCAATGGTGCAAACCACCCCTAAATTTAAAAATCCTAAAACCAAATCCTCCAAGTTGGCGACAGAGTGAAAATCACCCCTTAAATTTTTAAAAAAAAATGCAACCAAATTCTCCAACTCAGTGATTTAGTGCAAATGGCTGTCCTGAGTGGTAAATCACCCCTTAATTTACTGGTTAAAGCTGATCTGCACCATTTATTAAAAACATTACACCACATAAGATTCATTTATCCAGCTCAATATATCTCACTTAAATCTTATAGAAGGAGGTTGAGTACGAAATCTCTTGAGACGCTCGTGTGTTTCCACAATTGGATGAAGACCTACCGACGAACTCAAGAACTAAATATAGCACCACTTCGCTACTTCATGAAGGAAACGACTACCGACCAAGGAAGTGGGAGTTTCGAAGCCAAGGAGATTTATGTAACCCTTCTCTATTGTTGTTTAAATATTTTTCAAATTGTACAAGTCCATTTAATGTTTCAAATAAATTTACATTTCTTTTTTAATGTGTATGGTTTGTTGTTTGTATTGATATACTCCCTCCGTCCCTTTTTAGTTTGCCAAACACAAATTTTCAAGTCAAAGTTGTTCAACTTTGACCGATTATATATTTATTTATACACGGTAATATTGATAATAAGATAATTATATGAAAATGTTTTTTTGTTGAAAATACTATCATAAAAGTATAAATTTATTAACTTTTACATAAATATATTAGTTGAAATAATGGATCCAAGTTTATCATCTTTGACTGGAAAAGTCAAAGTTGGCAAACTAAAAAGGGACGGATGTAGTACGGAGTATTTGTTAAGTGATTTAAAAATGAAGTGGATAAATGAATCTTATATGGCATAACTTTTTTAATAATAAATTACATACATCAGCTTTAACCGATAAATTACCACTTAGGAAAGCCATTTGGCCCATTTGTGCAATATCGCCGAGTTGGAGAAGTTGGTTGCAGTTTTTTTTTAAATTTAAAGGGTGATTTTCACATTATCACCGACTTGGAGGATTTGGTTGGAAGTTCTTTTAATTTAGGGGGTGATTTGTACTATTGGTTTTAGTATGAGGGCTGATTTGGTACTTTTCCCTTATTTTTTCCCACTCAAAGTTAACTTGGCAGGAACCAGTAGGAAAATTAAAAATTAGTGTGACACAAGGACAAAATGTGCACATTGGTGAACAAAATATTGAATAATTATGGTACAGCTCGAAAGGAATAAAATGAATGACTTGTGAAAGAATGAGGGAGGGGGGTAAGATCTCAATTTGCCAAAAACAAATGGGCACAGAGTCAACATTACCTTCATTATCTTGGATCCATCAATTCGGTACCGGACACGCTTTCCAACAATTTCAGCAGGGACAACAACATCCTCCAATATGGCCTCATGGACAGCAGTGAGCGTCCTACTACGTGGTCTTTGAACAGCAGCCCCTTTCTTTGGGGGCCTCACAATCCTTCGTGTAGCAATTACAATCACATCCTATATGAGTATGTCACAAGATGCAATTACAAATTTACAATCACACTTGGATGTAATTCTGTGCGGATGTACAAGGTTAATTAAATGTTTGACAACTCAATCAGTCCCCTCAAACATGAAGGTGTACTTTGCAAAACTAACACAAACAAAAGTCAATATAATAAATTTTAACATATTTATATATTAGCATCTTATATGTTACTAAGTCTACCAAACTACACCTGTGATGTCAAAAAAAGCAAAAAAAAAAAGCATTTGTTTGAGGGGACTGATTGAGTTGTCAAACAAATTAGTTCCATCACTATTTTGTATGTGGGAACCAATATATACGGTGAAGAATCCATGATTGGGCAATCTTGATGAAATATGATAACCACTGACATCACAGCTCAAGGTTTGGCATATGAAGAATTTGCTTTAAGACATGGAGTGATGGATCAAAATTATTAGATAATACTATCCTCCGTATCATAATAGTTGCAACATTAGAATTTACACACTATTCATGCACTCTACTTTGACTACATTTTATTTACTAATGTATGTGAATTATTTTTTTCGAAAAATATTGTTGAATTCGTCTCATTACGAAGTTTCATAATCTGATTTTTAAATATTTTTTACTAATAGAGAATTAAATATAATGGCGGTCAAAGTTGCGCATTGGCAAGTGTGAAAAAGGGAATGTTGCAACTAAAAAAGAACGGAGGAAGTATCTTCCTTCCCAAAAAAATTAGTATTATATTTTCAAGGTATAACAACTTATTTTTTGGCAAGATACAACTCTTCAAATAACGGATTAGCACTTATGTTTTCAAATTCATAGTTTATTTAAATTTAGGAAAAATTGATAGTAATAATCCCAACTATTGGCGGTCCGCTCATAATAATCCCAACTATTGATTATTACAGAATAATCCCAACTTTAGGGACCTTCCGCCAATAATGGTTCCTATGAATAAATTCTTGTAGTTTTTAAAGTGGATGGGATGAGATATAACAAGTAATCCCTATAAATAATCGCAACTTTTAATTTTTACGCTTAATTTCTATTTAAAATTCACTTTTTATAGAGGTAATATATGGTCATGGACCATTATTGGCGGATAGTCTATATAGTTGGGATTATACAAAAATAATCAATAGTTGGGATTATTTTCAGCGGACCAGCAATAGTTGGGATTATTGTTTTCAATTTTTCCTTAAATTTATCATATTGAACTTATTGGTAACTTTGTTTGGCGATTTACATAAAAACTATTTCAGTCTTATGAAAAGAGCTACAACGTATTTTTTTGGACAAGAGAAACTTTAGAAAATTACTATGTAACTCTTCTTCTGGACAGAGGTATTAAAACGCAAATGCACTCTAAATTTCAAGAGTAATATCATTTGAAACATACCTTCCCGCTGAATTTTTTTTCCAGCTCCCTGACAAGCCTGACATGAATTTTGCGGAAAGCCTTTCTCAGTCTGTATGGCACATGGATAACCACAGCCTTTCTGTTTCCAGAGACATCAATTTGTCTAACAAAATATATTCAGAGGTTAGAATCAATGCCTTTAGATAAAAAAAAAATAGTGCCTCCATCCGTCTTACAGTGCAGAATTGATGTACAGGTCTTTCAAATCACTCTTGAGCTCTTGATTGGTATTTTCCAAATCAAACAAAGCCTGTTATCATGTGAACAATTGAAATTCACGAAGCTAAACAGTTCAAATGACTTAACGGATAGGTTTCACTATATGCTAATGGGAGAAGGCTCAAAAAGGACATTAAGGTTATTTACCAATCTCAAATTGAACATTTAGCTTTTAAGTGGACCAAATTAACACAAATTCCACTTATTTTGATAATATTTGCCCACCACTCACGTTTCATTAATGGTGCTCATTAACGTTTTTTTATCATCTAACTTCCACTCATGCCTGCCTTCTCTCTCAATCTATATTCTAAACCTATCATCTTCTATTCTTCTTCTGATTTCTGTTTACAACGCAGGTGTATTACTACATATTGTTTTGTTATACATCTCAACCACTCATGCTTCTCTTTGAATTTCTTCATCCCAAACACGTGAGATTGTGAGAATGGATTGTTAATACACTAAAGAAGCAAAAAAATAGAAGATGAACAAGAGGAGAAAATTACACAAAATAACTCCGACCAATCCCGTTTCTTGATTTTCTTAGTTGTGCTTATTCTTATGGTCGCGGTTTTACTCGTTCTTTACTGCGCCGGTAGTCTCAAAACCATCGACAGATATAGTGAAATTCAGGGTAAGCAAAAGTTAGGTCCGTCAAATAAGGCTCACCGGTACAGATGACGAAAATCTCCTTTTGTGACCAAGAATTTCAGCGAGGTACAGATTCCGGATAGTGACGGGAGGGGCCTCATGTACAAAGGTGGACTCTATTGTGCGGGGGCAGCGTGTCAGTGAAGCTATTCTTGGGAGAAGTTTTTTCTCTCCAGCGGCTACGACCGGCAGCGGTTCTACAAATCCGCCGCCGTGGAGAAGTTTCTTCGCTTCCAGTAGGCAGTTAAGTAATTGAATAGATCTTCAAAATTCACCGCACCTAACAGCGGTGAAAGGGTGTTTTCAACCTGTGCACAGATGTCAATGAGCTCGGTTTGGGATTCACCACATTCTCTAACAGTTGTGATGGTTGTAAGCAAGGATTTGACTCAGGAAATATCAAAGCTGATGACTAAGGATTTGTGAAAGGTAAAATTGAGGATAATGGAGGTATGAAGATACCAGATGGTTAACGTTGTTAGGATAATCCTTCAAAAGAAAGGTTAGTGGGTGGCTAAAGTAGCTAAAATAAGTGATTTATGTGTTAATTTGGTCCTATTAAAAGATTAGTGTCCAATTCAAACTTCGTAAATAACCTTAGTGTCTTTTTTTAGCCTTCCCTCTATGCTAATTCAAGTATGGGGTTACCTGTGCAACGGACTCCTCAAATTCAGTAGGTTCGGCAGCCTTATCCTTGCGAATTTTTGTCAAAGATGTATACATCTTCACGGATCTAAATGCAAACATTATTGATGCCACGCTTAGTAAAATCATATTGCAAAACTAACAGTCGTGTTTTTCAGAGAAGAGTTTAATATCATGCAAATAAAATATCATTTATAAACAAGGGCATGCTGAAAAAGCAAGGACTTGAGTTAGAACAAGGCTAACTTTATTATATCTTAAAACTTGAACAAATCCATAAAAAGTACAACCAGTTCAAGCAAACCAACTATTAATTTAAGCAATTCTTAAAGAAAAAGACTAAAGAAGGGGCTACAAAAATCTAATCTTTATTATGAAAAAACAAGTCAGATTCATAGCAGGGAGGACGTACCGGCGATTAACCTCCGGCGAGCGCACTAGCGACTTACGTCCGATGACACACGCGAAGAGGCTCGGCTCGCTCTAGGCTTTCAGCAATGTGAAAACTGGGCTTAGGGTTTTTGAAGTTATCACCAGGCGTTTGACGGCTTAGATTTACTGGTGTGTATAACTATCATCGGGATGCATTTGCATCGGATATATTGTCTTGGGTACTTTGGATCATGGACTATTTGGCCCAAATATATTTACAGAAGATTCATTGGGTTAGAACCTTAACGAGGAAATAATCAAAATGGTACATGGAGTTGTATCGACGGGAGTAAGTAGTACTTCATCTTACATTTGAAATTTTAAAGCACATGAACATCTATTTTTATAATCAATCAAGTTCATTTGCTCTGTCAGACGATAAAATAGCTGGCCTGGTCAAACTATTTGTTTGTATTATATAGTTGCAGTTCAAGTTCCCAAATAATCAAGGATTATTAGCTAAATATATCATCAACTATCATCAAATTCACAAATTTATCTCATACTTTCATTTTTATTAAAAAAAAGACTCCAACTTCATTTTTCTCACAATTACATTGTCGATGGACGAAATAGTAAAACTTAAGAAGAAAATCATATTTATATTTCATATCTTTTCACTTCTTTCTAGTTCTAAGTTCACAAACTTGTATTGATTATATCTTATTGATACTATTCTAAAAATCGCTCTAGGCGTCCGACCAGTCCCCGCCTAGGCGCTAGGCGGTGGTCGGGCACCCCGATTTTAGTCTAGGCGCTCCGACTAATTGATTTGCCACCTAGGTGAATTAGTCAGCAGCCTAAGGCGCCTAGTTGTCCGCCCAGAACGCTTAATCGGCCGCCTAGGCGTCTAGATTTGTCGAACATTTTATTTTTCTTTTATGTTTTAGTATTCTTAGAAATATATACCCTTAACTTTAACAACACATATGAAGAAAGCTATTAGTTGTAGATTAAGATTAAAACTTGTGTGCTATTATTATTTAATAATATTTACTTCATAATGAAGCTAAGTGAGTAGGAGTATTATATTATTAAATGTGACAACTCTATCATTCATGCATGTTAATGTGTGTGCATATTTTTTATACACACCAAAACACAACATTACTAATCATATTTATCCAAAAATATTGATAAAACTATAATTTCTATGTTTCCGACTAGACCCCGCCTAGCCGCCTAGGCACTGGTGGGCTGGCGCCCGACTAGCGCCTAGCGCCTTTTAGAACATTGCTTATTGGTATCGATAAAAATATCTAATTTTGAAAAAAACAAAAAAGAAAAGCACAAGCGTTTAAAAAGATAAAGTTTGAGTCTTTGGTAAAAGTCGAAGAATAGGATAAATTTGTGAATTTTATGATACTTTAGAATAAAATAAGCTAATGATTCAACAATTAATACTCTATATATAAATTTTATTTTCCTCCAGTCCACTCGTTCTCACATTCTCTCTTCATTTTATATTTTTCCCATTTGCTCTCTCTTCTCCCCGCTCTACATCTTATATTTCTCCCGTATGCTGTCCCTGCTATCCTATCGGCCTTTTCCTTTTGCTCTATTTTATTTTCTTCTTCTCTTGCTATAATAAAGATAGACCAATAGAAAATAAAAGAAGAAGTCGACGGGATAGCAGGGAGAGAAGACGAAAAGAAGAAGAGCAACACGGGCGGAGCTAGAGGGGACCAACCTAGGCACGGGGCCACCTCAAATATGAAAAATGTTTTAATTTTAAAGTAAAAATTTTGTGTAACTATTTTCCAAAATATTCTTTGTACTGCTCCTGTTTGGCCCATTGCCTTAGCTCCGCCCTTAGAGAGCAGACAAGAGAAATGTAAGATAAAGAGCGAGAGAAGTGAGAGCAAATGTGAGAAATATAAAATGAAGAGAGAAAGTGGAAATGAGTGAACTGGGGGGGAATTAGAATTTATTGATTAATTATTTGGTGATTTGGACCGCAACAATATATTACAAACTGATAGTTTGGTCAGGTCAACTATTTTAACAGTGTAACAGAGCAAATGTACTCAATCGACTTTAAAAATGAAAGTTCATGTACTTTGTAGTTTCAAGTGTAAGATGAAGTACTACTCTCTCGACTTGAAACAACTTCGTGTACCATTTTGATAATTTTCTCGAACCTTAATTATGAACTTTGGACTAAACCCCCATTTGTGTTCACCGAACACCCATATAAGAACATAATTTAGCGGAGTTGCATTGGGTTGGGTGTTGGAAGTTGAGAGCTGATCCTCTCCCTCTTCGCGAGGTTCTTCTACGATCGTCCCAATGTTCCACGGTTGGCTTGTTTCTTGATCGGTTTTTCCTTTTAGATTTGTGTTAGCTGAAATACGTTGTTGCTCGTCTTTTGGATTTGGGATCGAAAATGGTCTGCGGCCAAAAACCCAACAAATGACGATGTTCTTCTGCGTCTGTACTGTTCATATACGCGATTAGATTTTCTTGATGTTAATTACATTTTTCAGTTGTCTGGCTTTGAAATCTCGTCTGTGTACTATTACGAGCTCGGAGCTGTCTCAATTTTCTTGATTTGCTGCAACGACCCCTGCATCTGTTCGTACCAGGTCCCTGAGGACTGGGAATTCGGACTTTATATTTACCAGGTCGGTTTTGGCTCGTTCTGCAGTGTTTACCAGGTCGGTTATACCAGGTTGTTCTACCAGGTCGTCTTCGTACCAGGCTCTGCGTTCTGGCTTCGGTTTGCAGCGGTCTCACCCTGTAGGATGAACAAAAAGAGTGCAGGGAAGGGGGAAGCTACGCCCAGGCTTACCAGGTCCAAAGCAGCTGGCTTTGAGATATTGAATAACCTTGAGGAAGAGTTCCCTGAGCTTGCTAAATCTGCCTCGAAATCAGCAGGTCTTATCTCCGGTTTTGGTGCTGCAACTGCTCCTGCAACTGGGCAGGTTGTGCAGGCAGAAATGAAGACCAACATTGATACCACTGCTATAGTGGTACCTGCGAAAACACTGATGCCATCTCCTGGGACTAAACACACTAAACAGATTAATGCTAAGACTGGTTTGACATTTAAGGCTACTGGTTTTGAGAACACCTTAAAGCCTACTGAAGCTGCTGCAGGGACATTAACTGCTGGGGGTCCTGCATCCGGGAAAGTGGTTTCAACACTGGCAGTAACTACAGAAACTAAATGGAACTCTCTGTTAAAGGATAACCGGGATCCAAAAAATGGGATTAAGCTGAGATATGTTCCACCTAAAGGCGAGACACTGGACTTTAGTGACCGCATACTACCCTCAATGGTTGAAATGTGGGGTTATTGTCTAGTGGGACATTTCACCGGCAAATTCCCCGGACTCAAAGCGGTTCATGACTTAAAAGCTACATGGGGAGTCAAATGCCTAGTAAGATCTCATAACAAGGGTTGGATAATTTTTAAATTCCAAAATGAAGAGGATAGATCCAAAGTACTACATGAAGGACCCTACACCGTCTTCGGTAAGCTATTAATGCTCAAAGAACTCTCGGAGGACTTCACTTTTGAGGATGAGGAATTTCTAAAAATTCCAATTTGGGTCAAGCTCCCTAAACTACCGATGAGTTTATGGAATGATGAGGCTATGAGTGAGGTGGCATCAATGGTCGGGGTCCCATTAACCACGGATAAAATCACTCAAGAAAGGGCAAACAATGATTACGCTAGAGTGCTTATTGAAGTGGATGTTTCAAAGCCACCGCCACTTTCTTTTCCTATACGACTACCTTCCAGAAAGGTAATCAAACAAAGTGTGCTTTATGAAACTTTTCCTAACTATTGTTTTCATTGCAAAGAATTTGGGCACCACCCTTTTATTTGTAAAAAGCTTGCCAAAAGGGTTGATGGGGAAAGTGAAAAAGAACCGTGTGTTGAAACAAATAAGGTTGTTGTGAGTGAGGCCACTCAGACAGAGGTTGCTGCCCAGGCATACTCGACCGGGCTTCTTGTAAAATCTGCAGCAGTTGTTGTCCCTGCACCTTGCCCGACCGGGCATACCAGCGACCCGACCGGGTCTGCCAGGCAGTCTACTAACCAGAGAACTGCCACTTTGTCTGTGACTGTACCAGCTGCACAGGGACCTTCTAAGGTAGAACCGGAGGTCGTAGTGGAAGATATTGATAGGATTGTGATGGAAGAGAAAGACTTGAAGTTCAATGATGTGGTTATCAAATGTGAGATAATAAACGGTAAGACAATGAAGTTAGTTGTCAAACCGTTTAGATTTGTGCACGCAAGTGTGATTAGAGTGGATACTTCTCTTCGACTTACGAATGATTTGGATAAGAAAGGACTTACTTTCACCGCCAATTGTCTCGAGGGTATGCCGGGAGTAGCTAAGAAGAAAGGGGAGGTTTGTTTTGACTCAAAGTTTACTACTCCCTTCCGAGCTTTCTTTGGAGTTTAAATTAGGGATACCTAATATTTTATTGATGTGTGAGGGAGTGGATCTCGATTTTGTGGTATCCTGTGTACTGGGATATGCACTTTATTTGTAACACTGGCTTGTTATTTTCTTGGGTGTTAAGTGATTTGTGAAGTGGGGACTGTCCCATTTCTTTGATGCATTATATCTAGGTTAGTTTATTCTAGCTTAGATAGTCTTTTTTGATTTGGATTGAGGCATTGTAAAATGCTATTTTTTCTTCGATTTCTAATATACTTACATATTATCGTCGAACACCCATATATTATATACTCCCTCCGTCCCATTGGATTTTGTCAACTTTCCCCTTTTTATTGTCCCAAAAAACTTTGTCAGTTTCCTATTAAAGCAACTAATTTGTGGTTCTGCACATTTTTCTCTCCTCTACACAAATCTCAACCACACAATTTTTACTATTCTTATTTCTCACTTACTTTGCACTTGGCAAAAACCACTGGGACGGAGGTAGTATAAGAGAAAATGTATAAATATACCCTTAAAGTATATGTGTAGGTGTAGATATATCTTTCCACTTCTAAAAGGTGCAATGATACCTATAAAGTTTGAATAGAGGAGCAAATTAGCCCTTGGTGATTTAAATAAATAAAAAAAATAAATAAAAAAATAAATAAGTAAATAATAATGATAATGATAATGATAATGATAATGATAATGATAATGATAATGATAATGATAATGATAATGATAATGATAATGATAATGATAATGATAATGATAATGATAATGATAATGATAATGATAATGATAATGATAATGATAATGATAATGATAATGATAATGATAATGATAATGATAATGATAATGATAATGATAATGATAATGATCATGATGATGATGATG